GCAGGACTGCTAGGCGAAAGTATTTGCAGGGCAAGGGACTGGATTTTATTCTGTATACATATATATACACTTTACAATTCCTACCCTTAGGGAACAAAAAGCCAACACAACCCGCTTTTGTGTCCCCACCACCTGAAGGTCATGGGCGCTGCTCAGCGTCCCCGGGGATGGCTCAGCTCCCTGCCTCAGGGTGACCGGGCCGTCTCCTGTGGACCTCCGCCACGTCTCCGCCTCGGCGCTCGAGGATGCTCGTGTCTGGGTTTCCCTTAGGCAGCCGCCGCGGGGGCCGAGCTGGCTGCCTGCGAAGGAGCAGCAGCAGGCAGGACGGGCAGGGCTGCAGGCAGGACGGGCAGGGCTGCAGGCAGGAAGGACCCCTGCACCCTCCTGTCCCGGGTCCAGGGCTCGAGCCCTGCGAGGAGGGGTTCTGCTGGTCCTCCACCAGCGCTGGTGGGAGGGAAGAGGACATCGTTCAAAGCCCTGACCCAGCTGGTCACCTCCCGTCGTGGGGGATCCGCATCTGGACCGTTTCCTGGGAAGTATAGGCCGTGACTGAAAAGAAAACGGTGCTCTTGGCTTAAAACATTAATAAATACCGCCCAAAGAGCAACCTGCTATGAAATTCCTATAGAGTTATAAAGCTGGGGATTAATAGGCATCTAATGATAGCAAATATTTACCCTTTGTAGCGCTTAGCCGTTCTGCGGTTTTAAATGTTATCTTCTCGCAGATTCGTATTGAAGACATAAATCTGAGTTAAATGACTGTTCAAACAGCCACGGGAAGGTGATGCTAGAAGTGCTGCTGCTGCCAGGCTGTTTGAAGTGTATAAATAAGGCAGGGCTGTAGGTGAGACATAATCATTTTTTATTAGACCGGCTCCTGTAGTTTGAAAAAGCTGACAACTTTTCCAGCCCGTGTGCCCGTCTTTCAGGTCTGCTGGCCGTTATGGAAAAGTTACTTGTTTTTTCGTTTTGGTTTTTTTTTTTTTTGTTAACGCCTTGGCATTCTTCCAGTAGAAAATACATTTCACTGCATCATCATAATTCCATGTCAGCATGTCCAGTTAAATGCAAAATCTGCAACCAGCTATTTTACTTGATAAAATCTGGGGAGCCCTTTTTACACTCTTCAGCGCGCGCCGTACCTCGGCGGTGAGCTGGCCCGCAGGGTGGACGCTGTGCTTAGGAGATGCAGAGGCACAAGCTGTGAAATCCCAAAAAGGAGAAACCATACAAGTGGTGCTGCTCTCTTTTTAAACAAGCAAACAGAAAGCAACAGCAAAACAACTCAGAAAACTTTCTGGATGTGGGAACGTTCGAAGTTCAGGAATTATCTGATCACTTACCAAGCTGAGGCTTCTCCAAAGCTCGTTAGCCCATCCTCGTTCTGTAGGCTTCAGTGTATTTCATGTCAATGTTCAGACTTTTGTCTCTGATGAAATTTGTTATAATGGAGTTTATGTACTTGAGTTTACGGTACCAGAGCAGGAATAAAGCAGCAGGAGACTTTCAAGCCTAAGCGATGCAACTGTAATGAAGCATTGCAGGATGACACGAGTATTCACCATTGCTCAGTTCAGCTTCATTTTTCTTAAAGTCCGTGGCTTTATGCTAAAGCAGCGTAGCCCTGTAGCCCTGTTAGGGGCGTTGGGACGGAGTTTGCAGAGGCCCAGCGCCGGCGGTTCTGCAGGGTCTGGCGCCGGCGGCCAGCAGTGTTCCCCTTCTGTGTTACAGATGGCCACCACAGCAGCGACCCGTGGAGCTCCTCCAGCGGGATGAACCAGCCCGGGTACGGGGGCATGCTGGGCAACTCTTCTCACATCCCCCAGTCCAGCAGCTACTGCAGCCTGCACCCGCACGACCGCTTGGTAAGGCACGGGCACGGGGCGGGCACGGCGGGGGGCACGGCTCGCGCCGGGCGGTGCTCGGCACAGCGCGCTCGCGGCACGGGCATGTCTTCGAGTCGTGCCGCTGAAACAGTCTCTGCACGCCCATGTCTGCTCCCA